TTCAAGGTTATAAGCATAGTGCGCAGTGGCTGCGCTGAGGGTAAATTAATTATGGCACTACTTGAAAACACAAAAATTTGCCAACTACATATGACTTACATATATATCTACACAGTCAAATACCGAAACTCCGCCAATTCCTGAAATCAGCGTTGCCTCTCAAAATATAAACATTCAGTTTATAGGTTCTGGAAATCACAACATTGAGTATGAAATATCGAAGAAAAAATACTTACCGAATAAGGACAGCATAATTATCAAATAATAATGAGTCATAATGGAAATACCAAATTATGGACATCATGATAAAAGTTTTTCCCCCTCTAATCTGCACCGCGGTAAAAAAACAGACGATTCACTCTTCTTTCAAGCTCACGATTCACAGTGTTGTATTTTCTGAGCTTTGTTATTTCACGAGATTATTTTATGCTGCCTTTTTTTTTATCTCGATATTTTGTGGATAAATTAAGAATATTTTAAATTTCAGCTATTTTTAATACAATTACAGATAAGAAACGCACTCATGATTTTACTGCTTGCAATGTTGAAAAACGTAAACTCGTTGCATTAACGGTAATGCAAAAAGTGCAAATTCTGCAAAAGATAGAGACAGGTGCTACTCCTCAGTTTAAACAGAATCGTATGGAATTGCAATACGATTGTGTATGATATACCGAAAAATAATGAAAAGCTATTGAAATTTTATAGCAAGAGTGATTCTAACACCAGAATCTGAAACCGGAAATCGACAAACCTCGATGCTGTGTATATATAATATAATGAATAATAAAATCAATTTATATATGTAATAATAATTTAACGCATATAATAAGTTATTGCAATAATGTATATAATAATTTAATTAAATGTGTTTAATACGCCTTATTTATTTTGCACTTTTAATCTGAATATTATGATTTATCTTCTCTGTCCTGAAATCCTAAAATCCACACAACCTCTGGTCTCAAGCTTTGTGGATTTCTGGACTTCTACTGTATTCTCAAAGCATTATAACTATAATAGCAGTTGCTTTCTCCAATGTGGCTTGAGAATAGAATCTGCTCAATCGGGATTACAAAATGCCTTTTCTGCAAACATTTAAAGTTAAAGGAAGAAAGTTAAAGGCAATTAAAGGAAGAAAGAAATCAATTTAATGATATTTAAAAATAAATTCAAGTATTTTATATTTATTTAGCAACATACATAAGTAAAAGATATGTGCATTAAATTTCATACTGATATGCAGTCATACTGCTAGAATTAATTTCACAAGTATGCCAGAGAAAGATCCCTGAAATTTGAAAGTATTATTAATCAATAATAAATAAATTTAGAAGGAAAACACCACATTAAATGATGAGAATAACATTAAAATAAAGTTAATTACTTAAAGATTAAAAACTGAATTATAAAAATCAAAGGTATTTAAGCGAATACAGATATTTTAAATGGTTAGCCTAGATGACGATTATTACAGTCAAAAGTCGTTAATCTGGACTCGTCGGGACTTCGGCGATTCCGGATTATCAATTTTTCTGGATTATAGATCATCAGTTTAAATCTCGTAAGATAGCATGCAGAAATTCTAAAATTAAAAATATGAAACCGTAATTTATGAAATAAAGAACAATTATGATCTAAAGGGTATCAAAATTTACAAAAAAAAAAAAAAAAAAAAAAGCTTAATATTTATTTGTTTACTTTATTAAACATTTCTTTAATGTAAGTTGTTTAAGTTGCTTCGTTTTATGTGATAATACTTTCTCTTTAATTCTATAAACAGACATAATTTCTTGTTCAGTTACAAAGTTCCACTGTTCAAGTCCTATAATTGCTGTGTCGAGAATACCGACTAATTTGTCAATCGAAATTTTTTCGTTTTCACTAACCTCTCTGTCACCTTCTTCATGTCTTTATCCATTTTTTGCAGCAATTCCACCTTTTGTTTGATGGACATCGAAACATAGTTTCATTTTGTAGATCCTTTGGGAGCTCCTGCATGGGAAATTCCATTTGACATAATCGAAAGTTCAAGTTTACTTTTATAAAATTGCTCTTACAATCTGCAAAAAATAATAAGCCGGATCCAATTTGAAGATTAAGGAACAACGCAATCATCAACATTAACTGAAATAGATAATAAGCTTATACCGTCCATTATACAGTCAAAAGTCTTTAATCCGGACTTGTCGGGACTTCGGTGATTCCGGATCATCGATTTTTCCGGATTATAGATCATCAGTTTAAATCTGGTAAGATGGCATGCAGAAATTATAAAATTAAAAATATGAAACCGTAATTTATAAAATAATGAGCAATTATGATCTAAAGGGTATCAAAATTTACAAAAAATTTCTTTCAACACGCGCATGCGTAAAGCATACATTATGCATAGCCGAAATTAGAAAATTGCAACCAGAAAACTATTTGATTTGTATTCGTGATATTTATAATGACGAGGAATTTGATTTAAATCATATCAAAGACGAAGAACAGTGAGATGAAATACTACATTTAATAAGGAATTATAAGCCGAATAAAATAAAAACATCTGCCCTGAAGATAACGATAGTGTTGACAGATCAACTTCCAGTTCATTTCGCGCCGCCACGTTCCCCCCTCCCCGTGCAGAGCAGCGTGAAATTGATAAACAGATTTCGGAACGGTTAGATAAACAAAGGTTATGCCTTTATCCATTTTTTGGAGCAATTCCACTTTTTGTTTGATGGACATCGAAATATACTTTCATTTTCGTAGATCCTTTGGGAGCTCCAGCATCGGAAATTCTATTTGACATAATCGAAAGTTCAAGCTTACTTTTATAAAATTGCTCTCACAGTCTGCAAAAAATAATAAGCCAGATCCAATTCGAAGATTAAGGGACAACGCAATCATCAACATTAACTAAAACAGACAATTAGATAATTTTAGCTTATACCGTCTGTTATACATTAAACGCGCAGCGAAAACGTATTCTGCGCTTGTGCACATGCAAATGCGCAGTCGTAAAGCTCTTACGCACATGCTTAAATGCCTATGTGCATGCGTCAACACGGCGCATGCGCAAAAAGTTTTTAGCTTTGAGGTCCGGATTATAGATCATTCCAGATTATGTGTGTCCAAATTAACGACTTTTGACTGTACATAAAACGCGCACGCAAAAACGTATTCTGCACTTGCGCACACACATATGTGCAGTCGTAAAGGTCTTACGAGCACGTGTAAACGCCTATGCGCATGTGTCAACGCGGCTCATGCGCAGGAAGTTTTTAGCTTTGAGGTCCAGATTATACATCATTCCGGATTATGGGTGTCCAAAATAACGACTTTTGACTGCAATACTAATATTTACTGCAAAATGACAAATAAAGCATTTAAGAAATAAAAGGTTTAAAAGGTTTTGTGGGTAAAGTAGACTTTAAGGTACCCCTTGTATTATGGCGAAGTTGTTGTTTCATTTATCGCCAAGCTGTTGTTTCATTTATGGTAGCCTGAGTAGTTGAATGTTATGGAAACCCTACTGTGACGTAATCGGGTGCATAATTCTGGGAAATTTTGAATCATGGGATGTTTTGTAAGCGTTTTTGTGGTGCGTGTTGGTTTCATTCTTTAGACGGTAGAATGGCCGAATGTAGTAAGATTAATTTGTAATTTGAAGTTTCTGTACGATTTGGAGCGAAACGGGAAAAGAGCTTTAATTGACTGGTGTGTAAATTAAGGTTTACTTAGTAGCCTTATAAGTGTTCTGTATGTAGGAAGGATATGCGTCTAGTCGAACATAAAAACCGTTTAGATGGATTTCAGTGGGTTTGTGTTATGAAGAAAGGTTCAGATGGTCACTATGTGAAGCGTTCGATCAGAAAGAGTACCTGGTTTGAAAAAAGTCATTTGAGTATGATTGATATTTTGATTTTTACGTGGCTCTGGGTGTACGAAGCAAACTATCATGGTAAGTGAATATTTGCTTTTGGTAGTGCTTAAAATGTATAACATGTTTTTCCTTTTTTTATGTTATTTTATTGTTTGGTTTAAAATGTATTTTATTGAGATGATGTATTTTTGTTTGCCTATATTGTAGAATTTGGTGCTCCTTTGACTTTTTAAGTGAAAATATATCGATGTGTACATGGACTAAGTAAAGGGAGTGCGCAATGGAAGTTTGTGCAATTCTGGGATTTTTTTAAGTGAAAATAGGTCGACGTGAACATGGATAAGTTAAAAGAGTGCGCAATGCCATTTTTGTGCAATTCGGGGATTTTTTTAAAGTGAAAATAGGTCGATGTGTACATGGATAAAGTCGAAGGAGTGCGCAATGCCATTTTTATGCAATTCTGGGATTTTTTTTTAAGTGAAAATAAGTCGATGTGTACATGGATACCAAGTTTGTGCAATTGTTTGTCTTGTTATTTTGGCACAAAAATCACCGCTTCGCAAGCGAAAATAATGAGTCAAAGAATTGCACAAAATCGGTATCCATGTATCGCCAAGGCGTACCCTAAACTATACTTTTACCGGTTTTGTTTTATATGAAAATGAGGGGGCGGGAAATTTATTTTCATTCAACATGCACAGCACTTGCGTATGCAAATCTCTTGATTCTCAAGGCTACTGGAAACCAAAAATGCTGGAAACTTGCTTTGCCTTTCTAAAAGACGATTTGATTGGCACTGCAAAAATTTGCTCTCTGCCAGCTGTCCGAATGACACTAACGCTATACATGATTCACCAAGAATGTGATCGCTTCTGACATTGGCATGAAAATTGCTTTTTTGGAGATTGCAGTATGAAATTCCCCGACTTTTCCAGGTTTTGACTAAAATATTTAAATTCCCCGACATTTTTGGTCAGTTTTCAAATTTCCGACTTTTCCTGGTTTTTCCAGGTAGCGTGGCAACCATGATATAATTTTTTAAAAAAATTCTTATAAAAATAGTTTACCATAAAACAATAAAAAATGCAACTTAAATTTATATATTACTTTCAATAAAATGAATACTTACCAATAATAGCAGTTGAATAGCCTTTTGTTTTTAAAGCTTGTGCAAATGTTATTTCCCTTTCAGGTAGACCTCCACTAGCAGCCACAAAAAGGAAAACTTTATTTCTATTGGAACTTTCCATTCCTAAAAAATGTTATTTTAATGATTATTTATTACCATATTCAGTACAGTTAATATGAGACAAACACTGTAAGTAAATCCAGTCAAAAGAATTTATAACTAACTTAATGCACATTCATATTTTAAGTTAAAATATGTTTTGGTGCTATAAATGCTTACTGCAAGAAACTTTTTTGCCAATAGATTTTTTGGTACTTTTGCATTATCAGGATCAGATTCCAAAATGTATGTATGTGTTCATGTACATATTTTTGTATGCATATACACACACACAGATGATGCATGCATACACATTCCTGAGATAAATGTCGAACAGACTTTGCAGAAGAGGACAACAATCGTTGTTTCATGTCAGTCACTTTTTCTCCCGATAATGGCAGTCGTCCCCACTGTGAAGATCAAACACCGCTCTACTGCTCTCAAACTTGTTCAATAACTTTTGTATGTAGCATTTAGATGGTATATGTTGGTCATCAAATCGTTCAGCAAACATTTGCTGACATTTCTTAATGGAACCGGTAATGCAATATTGTTTCACAATAAACACGCATTATTCGACAGAATAGCGATGCATTGTCACTAAGCACAAACCTCTGAACACTGTCACTAAGCTCAAACCACTGAGCCACAATGATTCCTGGTTGTTGCAGAGTGCAGTAGACTGCAATGTGTTTTATTTCCCGATTCTTATGCAAAGCCTTCACACTACAGAAACCTCTATACTTAAAAGAATTAAAACTTTTCATAAGGAACTCAAACACTCTGTAAATCCTAGGTAACACAGATTTACTAACCTGTATGCTCTTTCCAAATTCCATAAAACACCACTAAAATTCAGATTCATTAGAAATGGCACCAATAATGACAAGAAAAATCTAGACTATTATTTTGCACTTAAAAAATTGTAAATTAATTTTCAATGCTTGTAACACTGAACATAATTATTGCTGCATCATCAATAATAACACTCTTGTCATTAATACCATTCAGTCTATCGACATACAAAATTTTAACTGCTATGAATTTGAAAACATATATATCTCGCTTCCATTAGAAGAAATCTATACTAGCCTCCTTGATCTGCCTACTCTGCTCACAATTATAGACTTTAATAGACGCAAAACCTTTCTTAAATGCACTATTTTTAATAACTACATTAAATTTCAAAATCAACTTTTTAAGCAAGTCGGAGGAATCTCAATGGGAGCGGGCACAAGCACATCCACTTGCAATATCTTTTTATTCATTAAAGACCTTCCATTCCAAAAACTTAAAGACCTTACCTTCCAAAAACAATTTACAGCAAAACGATTTAATTTACTATGCTCATACTTACAGATATATAGATGATTTTATTACCTTTATTAGTTCAACTCATTGCAAACTTTTATTCATAATCATGAACAGCACTAAAAACTTATACAGAAAAAAATTACAGACGTCCACCTTCAGCACATCCAACACCAACACATGTGGTGAACGAAAAAACACATGGTCAACAAACTCTTTAGTCAATGTTACAGTTACATATGAAAATTTAAAAACAATAACACAGCAAAACAAAAATGTTCTGAAAATTCACACACTTAATTTTAAAAAATTAAATGCACATTATTACAGTTATTAGCAATGACAAATAATTATTACACTTTTCTTTCATAATTTAAATTGATTTTTTTACCAATGTCTGGGCTATCACCAGGCCACTGAAATGCTAAGTTCAAATCCAATGTATTGGACTGGTGCAGCCATCTACTGACAAGATAGTGAAATGCAAAGTGTTCTAACATTACTCCCTCACCAGTAACTAAGTTACGATACTTAAATTGCATTGGTAAGGTCAATAATCGAATAACGTGATCACTACATCTCATGATCAAAATGCACTTCACGTATAAAAGAATGAATTTCTAAGCTTGCATCTGGTTCTGAATTGTAAGGTTATAGCAAATTAAAATACAAATAATAATTAAGGTAGCTGGAACTTCAAGATATATCACTAATCTTTTTTGTTCCATGCTGGAAATCCACATAATTGTAGATACCACATTCAATATTCTATACATTCATTATACATTTCATTATTATATCTCAAAGTTAATATATACATACATACTACTCCATATCTGGGCTTAACTGAACAATTCAATGACATGCTTTCAGTGACATGAAAATAGTTAACACCAATAAAAATCTGATCAGTATTACTAAAATTTTCACATTTCATAGCAGGTATTTTAAACACCAAATGCACTTTTCTTATTTTACTCACTCCTGACTGACTCAATGCAACACTGTCCTGAATATACACCTTAGCAACTAATATTCTTTGAAAATTATTAGTTTTCTGAAAAACAGGTATTAGTACTGCATTAAACTGCAGCTGGATAGAAATTATATTTGCTCTAAAGCTCATATATGCCTAATACCAACATGATTAGAATACTACTTATTTACATACAGCTCAAATTCTTAATTTTCAATACTGCAATCTAACATTAACAAATTAGTGAAAAAGACATATCTCATAATACATAGATATATGTGCACTACACTATATAGCACTGAAATATTCTAACTGAAACAATAATTGTATTTTATAAGATAGCTTCTAAGGAGGTAATGCAGATGTTATGCCTAAGCAAAAACACACTGTATTCCAAAACACAATAATACCAACCCTTACAGCTAATACATGCATATAGAATTTGAAGCAAAAATTTCTAGAACAGTAAAAACAATATGGAAAGTATATCTGAATATATTCATGAACAGTAATATATTGCTCAATATCTACACCACTACGACTCTGGTATATTACAGAAGATACATAAATTAGAAATTATAAAATCAGTATACATTATTGTGAAGGAGATAAATACGATATGACATTAGCCTTAATTGGGGAAGTAGATCATGAATAATAATATTTGCAGTAACAAGAGATAAGAGTTGTGATTTAGTTTTTAAGTTCGAAACCTAACAGGAAGTTTTATTTCTCTACCACAACGAGTGTTTGTTGGGAAATTACTATGATGCATTTCCTTTGAGGATCCACCATTGACATCGTCGTCAAGAAGCTGATTCGGTAGTTCTGGCATGCTATCTGCATTCATAAGGTAAGCAGGTTTCAGCCTATCAATAGAGATGTTAACATCTTTTCCTTTAATATGCACAGAATAATACTTATCATGTCTTTCTGCTACAGGAAATGGGCCATCATATGCAGGCTCTAGTGGTTTTTTCACCCGATCAACTCGAACGAACACATGAGTACAGGTCCTTAAATCTCTATGTACAAAAACTTTTTGATAAGATTGACATGTATCTGCAGACTTCATTGGCTTTACTAGGGCCATCTGCTGCTGAAGATTGTACACAAATGTGTCAGGTTCAACGTGGACACTGGGTTTTTTAAAAAAATTCACCAGGAAGTCTGATATTGGTACCATATACCATTTGAGCAACAGAATAGTTTGTACCATCTCTGATAGCAGCTCTTAAACCCAACAAAATAGTGGGTAGCATATCACTCCATTTTACATTATTGTGAGCTTTTATTGCAGCCTTTAGTGTCCTGTGAAAGCGCTCTATTTTCCCATTACATTGGGGATGATAGGGCGTTGTATGCAGAAGTTTAGCACCACAAATAGCAGCAAGATTTTTAAACATTTGGGAGGTAAACTGGCGACCTTGGTCAGTTACAATACACTGTGGCACTCCAAATCTGCTCACCCAATGGTCATAAAAAGCTTTACTCACCAGTTCTGCAGTGATCTCTTCTAATGGAACTACCTCCATCCAACAGGAAAATCTATCAATGCATGTTAGACAGTAAATTTTACCATTAGATGGTGGCAAAGGCCCAATCAAATCAATATGGATGATGCTAAATCTGGCATCAGGTTCTTGATATGTACCAAAGGTCGATTTGGTGTGTCTTGTTACTTTAACTTTCTTTCTGGCACTGCAGACAAGCTCTAGCCCAATCACTTGCTTGTTTCTTCATCCTGGGCCATACAAATCTGGCAGTTATCTGTTTTACAGTGGATCTGACACCAGGATGTGCAAAACTATGGATATGATCAAAAATTTTCTTGCGAAAACTTTGAGGTACATATGGGCGAATATTGCTAGCTGAAGTATCACACCATAGGACATTTTTAGATTGTAGTACATATTCCTTGAAAATTAATGAGGTGTTACTTGCAATTAATTCTTTCAACTCAGGGTCATTCTGTTGTGCCTTTGCAATTTCTTCATAATCAATTACAGATATCTCTTCAATTCTGGAGAGAGTATCTGCTACAATATTGTTCTTTCCACTAATGTGCTGTATATTTGTAGTAAACTGGGAGATGTACTGTAACTGACGCAGCTGCCTAGGTGAAGCTTTATCATTCTTTTGCTTGAATGCAAAAATCAGTGGTTTATGATCAGTGAAAATTTGAAAATCTCGTCCTTCCAGCATGTATTTAAATTGCTTCACAGAGAGATATATATTCCAAGCAATTCACGATCATATGTACTGTATTTTCTTTGAGCCCCATTTAGCTTCTTTGAATAAAATGCAACTGGTTTCCAGTTACCATCTTCATACTGTTGCAAAACTGAACCAATTGCCCAATCTGAGGCATCAGTGCACAGAGATAATGGGCATTCAGACTTTGGATAACTTAAGAGGGCAGTATTAGCCAAGTCAGTTTTGCACTTCTCAAATTGCTTTATGCTTTCTTCAGTCCAAGGTACTTTACTTTTATCTTTTTTTCTTTGCTCCCTTAAGCATTTCATGTAGCATGGCCTGGGTCTGCGCTGCATCTTTCAAGTACCTCCTATAAAAATTTACCATGCCTAAAAACGTTCTTAAGCCATGAAGAGTGGATGGCAGTTCATAATCAAGAATAGCTTTAACTTTGTTTGGCAGAGGTTGCGAACCAGAAGGCGTAATGAGATACCCCAAAAATTCAATTTCTTTAACTCCAAATACGGACTTTGACACATTTAAGCATAGGCCATATTTATCAAGCCTTTCGAAAATTAAGCTCAGATGTGTTTTATGCTCATCCTCAGATGACGAGGCGATTAAAACATCATCAAGATAAGGAAAACAGAAATCAAGCCCTCGAAACACCTCGTGTACAAATCTTTGAAAGGTTGAGGGAGCATTTCGGAGACCAAAACTCATAACGTTAAACTCGTACAGTCCAAATGGTGTAATAATGGCTGTTTTTGGTTTATCCTCCTCAGCTATGGGTATTTGATAGTATGCTTTGAATAGGTCTAATTTTGAGAAAATTGTTTTCCCACTCAAGATTAAATGAAAATCCTCAATCCTAGGAATCGGGTATCTGTCCGGAATAGTCTGCTCATTCAGACGTCTATAATCACCACAGGGTCTTAAAGTTCCATCTTTCTTTGTAACCAGATGCAGAGGACTAGCCCACTGTGATTTAGATGGCCTGATTATACCATTGTCTAACATGAACTGAAACTCTTGTTTTGCCAAATTCAGTGTTCTTAGCATCAAGCTGCCGAGCACGAGAGTAAACTGGCTGTCCTTTTGTAGCAATATAGTGCTGGACCTTATGTTTCACTTTGGTGTTCAATAAATTGGGCTTCGTAATACCAGGGTACTTTCGCAACAGCTCAGAGAATTTTACAGAATTGCTCACTGTGCTAATCGCAGTATTTTCAGTTACTGACATTACATCACTATGTACAAACATATTTGTCACACCATCAATTAATTTTCTCTGGCGAATGTCAAGCAGTAAGTGAAACTGATTCAGAAAATCGGCACCTAAAATGCCTCTGTTTACTTTTGCTACAACAAATGGCCATTGGAATGGGCGACGTAGTCCGAGGTCCACGGTCAACACCTTACTTCCAAACGTTGGGATTTCAGTTCCGTTAGCTGCGTATAGCTTGTATGAAGTGCAGGTACTTTTAGATTTCGTATCAGCTGGAATCAAGCTGATATCTGCTCCACTGTCAATAAGAAATTTGATTCCTGTTTTTCTGTCTTTGATAAAAAGGCGAAATTTGCGGCAATTAATGTTTCCAGTAGCAGCAGGGGCTTGCCGCTGATTCTACTGCTAGTTGCAGTTTTCCGGCTGCTTCCAACTGCAGGGAGGTTTGCATTTATCAGGGTAGCATTTTTTTCCAAATTTGAAATGGAAAAAACAGTATTTTCCATCTGGGTCAAAACGCTTGCGGGATCTGCTGCGACTCCTATTTCTTTGATGGCTTCGACTTCGTCGTCTGTCTCTTGTGTGTTGAACACTCAGAGTCGCAATTTGTTGCTCAAGTGAAGAATTTTTTTAGCATTGCTAAAAAAATTCTTCACTGAGCCAAATTGCGCTCTGAGTTTAACCAGAGAC